GGGCGGTTGCACCGCCCAGTCTCGCTCGGAGACTTAGCCCAGGCGGTGCCACCTCCTGGCTTGGGCGGTTCAACCGCCTGGCAGAAATCAGGGTCCGAATGGGTTGATCCATTCGGCCCAATTTTGGTTTTTTAAGGGCTCAATTGCCCCAAGATTAAGTTAATGGGATCACCTCCCATTTCCAACTTAATCATTGTGCTAACTACGATATTTCCTAAGACATTTACTGCAATCTTGCTCCGGTGCGTCAATCGCTTCTTCCGGCGAGCTTCCGACAAACTTCCGTCGATCATCCGATGAACCCTCGGTGATGCTTCTGCGGACTTCCGGCAAACTCCTGGACTTGCGACGATCCACTTGGCGAGTTCCGACGAGCTTCTTTGGCAAGCTCATGGACTTCTCGGATTTGTTCCCGCAGAACCTCCGACGACTGTCCGAACTTCCGTCGAACTCTCGAACTCCCATCGTGATCATTGTCTTAACTCCAGCGCAACTCCTGCTGCATATCTTACTTTCATCGTAGTTAATCCTGCATACTTATCTCAACATATAGATTAGATAACAAATGACAATTAACTTCATCATCAAAATCCGAGATTCAACAAAAACAATTTCAGTAAAAATTAATAGAAGCCTTGCGATGCAGCAATATCCTAGACAACATGATCTGTTGTTGCTATCTTGTTCAAAGAAAGAATGAAATGGCCTCAATCGACAACCTTGAAAATAAATGCAAGCTTGTACTTGGGACTGGCACCTATATTCAATGAAACAATCATAAAACCAGTAAAATCAATTTAAAAGAAGCACAATTTTACATGTTAACATGACTCCCCCCCCCCCACACCATACCACCAACCAATCAGTGCAAGGAAGATCCCAGAAAAATGAAGATAATGTGACATGATAAGAAAGATGGCCTGATTATTGACATGTTGAAAACATTTCATTTCTAGTTCCATGTCAAAACTATCTTAATAATACAAGTGTTAAACAAGCCACAGCGTTTGATATATAGTTGATCAGCTGCGCATTGCTGTCTATCCAACCCACCAACTGACAGTGCACACAGTAGTAACATAGTACATAGGTTTTGTACTTACAGAAAAAACAGCTGTCACAATTTGAGGACCTCTCTTATCTTCAGTGCTTGAGATAATGACCACCAGATAGTGTCGAAAAATTTCCTATATGCTGACTTTACCTTGCCTTCGTTATTTAATAACCACAAAAGAGAAGTGTTGTCCTATCTCTTGGTATCCATTACAAATTTGTAATATGCACAAGAAGTCAATCAAGCAAAATCAAGAACCATTCACCACTTTAGCAATCACCAATCAGCAAGAGTTTGCACATTCCCTGTGCCAGTCTGCAAGAACATCCGAAGCAGAAGCGTACTGCATTGAAAGCTAGAACAATTAAATAGAAGTAACAATTAAATGAGTGAAAAAAGGGTTCTATTGAAGAAACCACAGCGCAAAAAAAAGTAGCAGAACCAACATATACAAACAAATATAATCATTTATTGCCAGTATTGATGTAAAAAAGCCACATTACATGATCTCAATTAGATCAGTGTTTTGTCCAAGAGAATAGCGATGGGGTTTTGAGTCCCTTGCATTGGATTAAGACTAGAAAATAGCTAGAGAATCCATGGCCAGTCTCCAAATTGATCAAGTAAAGGACATGATGACTCCTGGAATTATCCAACCAACAAACAATGACCAGACCACTTATCAAGCTCATTGACGGGAAGCTTAAGATGATGCAGAAATGGACAACCCCAAAAGAATACAGTGCCAATTATCACTCCCTGGTTGCCATATGGATGTTTCCTGATATGGTACCAAAGGCTTTGTCATCTCACTGATAAGCACAGAAATCAAGTCATCATTTTTGGCTAAAAAGATTATAAAAATTTAATATTGAACCGATATATTCAAATTTGACATGTTACAATATCTGCACGAAGCTTCATGTGAAGTCACATATTCATGACCTTTTGGTCATGACTAATTAATCATGAGAAAATCATCATCTAAAGCAACTACTGAAACTGTTCATTGCAAGAATCTGCACCAGATGGAACCTGGATGGTGAAGAGAGATATGCGTCCCCACTTTCTACACCTAAGCCTAGGACAGACCAAAACTTCACTATATTCTTAGATGATGTGAAGATTTAGTTAGCTGAGTTATATATATACATATATATATATATACATATATAAAATTAATGTACATATATAAGAAGAATAAAAGACATAAGAAACAATCTCCTAAAAACATCAAAGTAGGAGAGGCTTTATGACTGCATTTCTTTTCTTTCCATCAATCATCTATATCATTATAAACCTCTAAAACAACTTCCCTGTAGCCTTTCCCATCAACAGCAGAATGAAGTGATGCAAACTTAAATCCTACAGCATCTTCAGCAATACGAGCCCGTTCATACCACCTTTACTCCACAACCATCATCCACTAGTATAAGATATATTGTTTGCACTATCTTCAGCTCACTAAAATCTATCCGAGAAAACCCATCTAAAGCACTACTTTTCCACTGAGCAATAAGCTAATTCCACCAAGAAATGTTATTATATATTTTTTGAATTAACATGCATAAGTTCCTTGTTGAACTGTTCTCAGGTTCATTTTAGCCACAAATCATGGTTTTCAAGACAACTAAAACTCCAAATATATGGTTAGTCTACTATAACAGCAAATCATTTGGCAAACTAATGAAAACATGTCTTCCCTTTGTTCCCTTTAACTTATAACTAATTTTAAACTTAATGACCCTTAACTTATAATTAATTTTAAACATCAAGTTATTGATTATTACCAGAATTTTCCTATACCCTTGATCTAGAAAATGCCCACTGCAAGATTGCTTTAACAGTGTAAGATCTTTGATGCAATGGTTTCATCATCCTTTTCCACCTCTTCTAAGGAGAAGAAAAATAGCGGGCAGAGGATGGTGTAGAAACTGATACAAGGAGAGGGCAGAAGTTGGCTATGGTCAAGATGGAGTTCCAAGTGCTTGAGGAGAAAGGTCATGATCTGGCCCGACTAAATCATTACTACCCAAAATACTCAATCTCAACTTAATATCAGCAGTTCCATCTAACGTTGTAAATACATAAAAATCTTCTACATCCAATGTGGAACTAAACTGGATGTCACTATCTTTTTTCTATAACCAAGATTTATCCCAAAGTTCAATGCTAATCTTAGATTTAATCCCTATCTTCAAGACTTCAACTTTATTGACCAGAGGGATCTATTACTGCAACCACGGTACATGAACACTTTAAAGGATATCAAATATTAAAATGTTATGGTGCTAGCTAAAGCATTATTCTGGATAATAGTTTTATCGTGGTGCTAGCAAAGATACACACTCAAACACATAAAAATTATAAAAAAAAAATACATATTGGAATTGTTAGCTAAAACTCACTGAGTAATATCTCAATATCAAAAGCCATGGAACTTAATGATCAGCCATTCAGTTGTTAATTGTTAGTTTAAATAATTCCATCTGTAATCTGTCGTCAATTTGCTAGAGAAAAGGTAGGCCTTCATAATTTTGGAAATCATCTGGCATATGTCGACCATAATCTAATAATTCCATATGCAGCATCCACTTAAAATTTTACGACACACACGCATCCTCGGGATTTCCATAGCCACGCTTCCACATCATCCCAATGACTGTCTCTGCCTCTAATCTCCTACCTATGTTGGAATATCCCTTGTACAAAATGAAAAAGGTTTTCTTCGTTCGACCAAATCTAAAATTCTCCATCTCATCCAGAACCCCATGCATCTCCTCCAAGCGATTCTGCTGTCCATACATCACCATCTTGCAATGGTACAATGACCGGCAAAGCCGCCACCCTGCATTCTCTGCCTGTCTAATGAACCCAGCTAGCCGGTCCACTGCATTACTTTTGAAGTAACTCGATATGATGGAACGCATCACCCCCACTGTAGTTACAACAGTGTTGTGCTGGAATGCCTCGGATATTAGTCCTTCCATCGCCTCAGTTAAGCCTTCCTGTGCATACATCCTGATCAAATGTACATTGAGACAATGTCTATACTCATCCCCTGGAATCAACTTCATCAAGGCCTCCACCTTTCTGACTCGATCAGGGTGACAGCTCTTAGTATAAGCATATATCATTGTCCGAATCAAAGGTGTCTGCCTATTGTTAATCATCTCCTTTATTTGATCATAAGTCTTTTCCATCTTCTCTAGATTGCTTGAGTGGGCATAACCTCTTAACATCAGGAGGAGGGTTTCAGCGTCAGGCTTGATTGGTCCCTCCACCATCGATTGGTACATCCTCTCCATTTTATCCCACATCCAGGCCGTAACATATGCGGCAATGGCAGTGTTGTAGGTGGTGATGGTGTAGGAAAGGTCCGAATCATCAATTGCTTGGAGGACAGTCTCCATATGGTCCACGAGCAAGGAGCGGCCAAATACCGAAAGGAGAATGTTATAGGTGACAATGGTTGGCTTGCAATTGAAGTCCTGCTTCAGATCCTCGAAAACTGAGACGGCTTTCTTGGTGAGGCCACTATACATATAAGCAGACATGAGGGCATTGTAGAGGCAGGCGTTGCGGAGGCCGGCATCTATGGCGTCAGAGAAGAGCTCCGTTGCCAGGCCGACGTTCTTGGTGCGGCCCGCCAGGGTGATGGCCTTGGAGTATTCCTCGGATAGCATCGGGATGCCGGCGTCAGCCAGCTTCTTCCTGCAGTTAAAGACCTACAAGACGATGCAAGATACAACCTTTAAGGATGGTAGAATGATTCGGAATCCTAGGAAATGGAGAAATCGGGAGATAGAGAGAGTGGCGCGGGGGAAGAACCTGGATTGCGAGGAGGGGGCGGGACTTGAGAAGGGAGAGGAGCTCGACGGAGGCGAAGCCGGCGGGGAAGCAGAGGAGTAGGGTGGCGAAGGAGACAGAGTCCAAGAGAGCCGCAAGATCCTGGTCGTCGGGCAGGGCGAGCAGCTGGTCGGCTAGGGCGGAGACGGCGGATCGAAGTGCCTCCTTGTCCTCGGTGGTGACGGAGGCGGGGTTCTCGGAAAGGAGGAGAATGCGGTCGCGAAGGTCGGAGATGCCGTTGGAGCAGAAGCCACGGGCGGCAGCGGCAGAGGTGAAACGTAGGTTGTAGGGGGAGTCGTAGAACGGGGTTTGGAGGGAGGCTATACGACCGCAACGAAGAAGTAAGAGGAGGTGGCTCACTCTCGCCATAGCCGCCGCCGGGCGCATGGGGTGGCGTCGCCCGTGCTCTCCGAACTGCTGCGCTGCGGAAGGGGATTTGGAAATGAAAGGTTGGGCGATGGCCGGTGATGGGAACAACATGGGCCGGGCTTTCCATCGCAAATGAATGAGGTAATTACATCTCATAATTAGCAATGTTACTTTAAATATTAACATGGAAGTCCTTATACTCACATTTATTCTCAATTCTTCTCAACTTCGTCGATCAAAAAAATTACCCGTATTGTCACATACAAAAGGAGCTAGAATGAAAATAATAAAAATATAATTTTTATTTTTTCAATTATTAATTTTATATCAATTTCTCGATCATTTCCTCCTCTCCTCCTCTCCTCCTCATTCAAACTTGCTCATCCGTTGCTCATCGCTCATCGCCCATCGCTCACTCGTTGCACCCTCTCGCTCATCGTACCTGCTTGCCCGCCACTCATCCATCGCACTTGCTCCCCTACCGCTCGACCGCCACCCCTCTTTCCAACTTGATCGCCCATCGCCCTTCTTTCCAATCTGATCGTCCACTGTGCTTGCTCGCTCGTCGTTGCTTTTTCCAACCTGCTCGCCCGTCATCCCGCTTTCCAACTTGCTTGTTTGTTACTCGCCATCACCATCTCCATCTTTGTTGACGTAAAAACCCGAGTAGTATCAGCCAATTTGTTATTTTTTGCCTTAGGAACTAAGTTGGTGTGGTTGCTCCGTGATATGAACTCAAAAGCATTTTCCCAAGGATTAGAGAGACTTGGTACGAGGGAGTTCTATATAGACATAGCTTTATCTTATTCACCGCTCTTGCAAAAGTAGAGGTACACATAACATACACAGGTAGCAAGCTTCGCTAACGATGATGAAATTATCATCGGCCATAGTGGGGATGCCGAGGTGGACGATGAGGCAAGTGTGGGTGAGCATATTGAAAAGAGGGACGATGGGTGATTAGATTAGAAAGAGGAATGATGGGCGATCGACGAGTGAGCAAGTGTGACAAGTAAAGATGATTAGATTAGAAAGAGGGGTGATGACGAATGAGCAGGTGTGGTAAGCAAACGATCGACCAAAAATTTATAAAGTTTATATAAAATTAATAATTTAAAAATAATAAAATTTTATTTTTATCCTTTTCATTCATATATATTTTTTACACGGCACCATACGTATGATCTTTTACATAGACAAAATTAACGATATAAAAATATTAAAATTTAATATTATTTTTTTAAATGTAAAGACAGATGTTAATCATAATTAATTACATAAAATAATTTATAATACCCCTCCAACGTATCATGCAACAAAGTATTCACATGGCCGGGCTGCCATCACAAACATGGTCTCAGAGAGACATTAGAATGGTCGTGGGTGGAAGGCTACAATGAGAATGCAAAAACGTCCCACCATTTTTTTTTGGCTCCAACTAACTCGTCACAAATGTACAATCATAAAAATTACAAGTTTCAAATACTTTGATAAAAATAACAAGTGCAAACAGCGAGGAATCAGATTCGGCAAGATACCTGAGTAGTTTGGTGTCTATCGGAGAAACTATTCATGGAAGTATATGATCTAACTGCGACAGACTTCATGTAAATATGATATAAAAAAAAAAAAGACAACGTTTTAACAAACGTTACAGCTCCTCCTACAAAAGCCGGCCAAATCTGCAGTTCCAACCATGTACTCTGGATTCTTTGTGCACTCTCCAAGTGCAGCCCACCTCTCGCAACTTTCGTTCTCGTCTGTACAGTTTCCTTGACTTGTGATAATCTTGTCAAAGGAGGCTACGTGAATCCACTTTGTGGCCGACCATTTCTCACCTTCTATCACTGGGCACCCTGCGTGAAGGCTGCCTTGATCTGTAGTAGCATCTGGATGAAGGCTGAAGAACAGAAGAGCATTCCCTCGCTTCGGCTTAACTAAAATGTCAATCAGATGCAACGATCACAAATTCTCCAAAACAAGATGAGAAGGTGAAGCACTGTTACAAGTGTTTCACAGTCTCCTGGACCCTCACCTGCTTTTCCTCGCTGGGCACATTCTGAAAAGCTATCATCCTTGGCATCTTCACCACGGTGCCGAGGTTCCTGCACAAAGCAAAAGAGACAATCACCAAAAGCAACACTCCAGATGAAGAATAAATGATGGAAGTTTGACAAATGGGATATCTGATGCATGACCATTTTGTTATCTCATTATAAGTTTCCTTGCGCTAAAGGAAACAAACAGAGGTAGTAGTAGAAATAACCTCAGCTGAAGGAAACACAGTTTCACCACCTTTGGCCACGTCTGTTAGATACATAAGAACAGTAGCAATACGATGACCACCACGAGCGATATTAACCTTATCAGAGAAGTAATCATAGTGGGGGTCATACTTCTGTCCAGGCTCATACCGTAAGACTTGAATGTCCTCACCATTTTCTGTATGAAAACAAATATCAACTGAACAATCTTTTAAAACACAAACAAAGTTATGTCACCATTTTTTAAAATGATGATGTCATTATCAGCAATGTGAATGGTGATACCTGTCAGAAAATAAATTAACTCATTCAATAGGATAGAAGCTCCAACCAACATGTTGAAGCCAAAACTACTTTTCTGTATCAGAGAACTTTCTGGTGACCATTTCACACTACTTAACATGACTTGGCTATTGGTTTTATCAAGAAAATGATTATGAACAATATGCAATCATGTTATTTATATGTACGACTGCAATACAATTGTGATTTTTTGAATAATGGAGGAACATTATATCTGGATGTTTTAGACAATCTATCTATGGTTGTATTGGCTCCTTTCAATACAGGAATGCGCTACCACAGAACCCAACTATTGGTTTTCAAATACTGGTGGGCCTATCAAAAACTTACTATTTTCGTACTCAGTTGTAGAGTCCTTGTGATATCGAAAGTACAGGGGACCTGTTAATAGTTCAGCAGCAGGAAATATCAACCTATTTGCTTGTTGGCAGTTGATGCCGAAAAGAATAATCACTGTGAGGATCTTCTCTGAGGTAAAATATAGCATTATGACCAGGAAATTACAGTAACAAACTTCAGGTTCACACAAGGACGAGAGTCATGATCTTGCATATCCTTTTCATCTAGTTCCTTAGAAAACCATGCTCCATGTATCAATGATGCCCATGGGAAGGCTTGCCATGAAGACACTAATTGGGCCTTAAAGTAATTTATGGAGTTTTATCAGGAAATTCAACCCATTGATGGTCCTTGATAGCTTGTGCATATGGTTCTTCTGGCAAAGTTCTTATTCAAAGGTGGTGTCAATCAATTGGCATGCAAAATTAGCCTCAAAACTTGTTCTTACACAACCATTTTCATAAAAATATCAGTGCAAATGTCTATGCAGATCCTGATTAATTTGTGGTCTACTTCTTTTGGCAATTGGCAAACTCAATCCATTCACATGATCAGGCCATTTCAGAATTGTAATTTAAGAATTGTTCAGTCACGTTTTTGAGGTGGAATTTACCACTTTCCAGAATGTCAAAATGCTGGGAAACATTGCCCCTTTGTACATCACTTAATAGTTCACATTAAATTAAATGATCTACTTTCACAATCAGAAAAACGTAAAACCAACCACATTTATAGATATGCTGTACTGCCCCTTTCATTTCAACAAAGAGTATATTGTCACTCAAGTTGGAGGGACATTAGATTAACAATAAAAGTGAACTATCAGAAAGAGTAACTATGCTATCAGAGGACAACTGTCTTGTGATTTTCTCATACCACTAAAGGTTAACTGAAGTTACTAAAGTTACTAAAGTCCATTCTTCATGGTTCCCATTTTGTACTTTCAACAGAACACTGACTTCCCTTTGAATTGATCTGATGTTGGGTCACAAATTCCAAATCAGGAAAATGATCAGACTTATGGATGACGCAGGAGCAACAATCCTAAGAACAGTACCTTCCCATTAAGCACTGTAAGTAATTTGGTATGCCTATAACATTCCATTGTTAAGAAAATGATTTTTCATTTGTGTATAAGCAGCTTTATGAAACTAAAATGGCTGTTAGTAAGCCAAATTTAAAGGATAACAACATAACCTCTATAATTAGCTTGGGTTCAAAACAGAGGGAATGGGATGCAATAAAAGCTATTGTGAGTCAAGAATAATCGAAAGAGTAACATATAGGTAGTTTCTGTCAAAGCTTGGAGGGTATGAACTGTGACTAATAGGACCAATGGTACTCTTATTACATGAATGGTTAACATAATTAACTAACAAACCAATGGTACTCCTGTTACATGAAAGTTTAATGTGATTAACTAACAAATATAAGAAATTTGAAAAAAATAACTTTGGTTCAGTGAGTGTTTTAGAGATGACAGAGTTAAACTTGAAAGGTACATTAACGTAGGTATCTTATGTATGATTAAGCAGCTCCTAGTGTCAAAAAATAAAGAAACCACGCAAGTGAGCAGCCAATCAATAGATTAGCATAGGTGTAAATCCTTACCTTTTGCACCTTTTATGTATAAAACAACAAAATATCAAGAAAAGGTTCCTTGGCATCTGTTATTTGCTAATGGTTTAGTCGATGATAACCATGTAAGGAAAAATCATAAGAAATTGAGAAGAATCTTCCAAACCTAAGGGCTTTAGTTTAATTGGATCGACACAGAACACAAAGACAATACCTTATTTAAAATTAAGCCAAAAAATGAAAATAGAATATAAATTACTCCTACAAGTACCAAACAAATAGAGATTCTGATCCCTTTTATCTAATATACAACAAATATGAGTTTGAAAACTATATTTTTTACCACCATGAGAAGTAAAATCTTACAAGACAAAGATAAATCAGAACACCACACAGTTAGGAAGCAAAAGAACCTATGCAACTAAAACAAGAATAGTGAGATTGAAGATTGTAATTACTGGGAACTAAGACTTATCATATACCTCCTAAACCAGGGGTATTTCCATGAGGATACAATTTCCCAGTAGAAATTTTATAATGCATGAAAGAAAACATAAAAAAGAAGGACGCCTACCAAAAAAGTGGGAGTAACAAAAAGAAACAAATGAAAGATCAAAAACCAAAAAAAAGATGTAGATCTTTATATGACTTGAAGAATAAAGACTTCACAGTTACATTTATTGAACAATGGGATTCCAACCTTACAGAAGTCTTTAATGGTAAGAACAAGGTTTGTTGTATGTTTATTTGACATTATACCTTCTCTTCAAATCCTCATAATATTCTCTCATGATTTAGGCCATAGACTCTTAATAGTTTGTAATCTGTGTTTATATTTATGAATAGGGCAAGCCACACTTGATGATTAAAAGGGTGGAAGGATAGAGTTAACTAACAAATTATACCTCAAAACTAATCGCATGGATGTATCTCCAGCATGATTTATGTTCTGTTTCCTGTAGATCAGTTAATGACTAAGTTTCCTGTATCCACTATTTTCTTCACTTATTCTTTCTTTTCATATAAGTTCTGTTTGAACTCTTCATCCTAAAAGCAACTAGGTGGTCAAAACTGACATAATGAACAAGTAAATGGAGTTATAAACTGTTTCCAGTCAGACAAATAAAAAGAATATTGCATTATTCTTGTCATCAATTCATCAAATGCTTGTTATAGCACCAGCAACATTGGCACGTATACAAACACTCTATCCCTTCAAACAATTTCCATTTGATTGTTTGTGATTTCCAATTAAGGTAAAATGTTGGTGTTTTACTTGAATATGTTGTAAGAAACTTAGTACTTTATTTCAGAATCCTCAGAAAGCAAGCAAGCTATTTTGGCTCTTGTGGCTAATTTGTTGTTCCTGGCAGGCTGATGCATGCCACTAAGATATGCTCTCTCTCTAGAATGTCAAGTGCTGATTGACACGAGTACTACTAAATTTTTTCTAGCATTATAATGAACAGAGAAGCAATTATAGTAGTTCAACCATATCCAGCCAGGCAGCAAGACTGCAATCACTCAAGTATTCACTACATGAAAAAAATTTGACAACCATGTAGCAAGTCCATGTGAATAAATCCTTTCAGGAAATCAGAAAAACTATTACAACTATGGTTTAACATGTATAAATTTGATATGAATTAGGAGGTTCACCTTTAGGAAGAAAGGTCCATGCGGCAATTTTGTCCTCAATACCTTCAACAATTGGGTCCTGCAAAATGTTTATATCAGATGCAGCAAAGTCAAAATGATCATCCACTTAAATGCATAATAGATCCTTCTCCATCTAGTCCCTACTCTTCTTCCACCTGCTTTCCCCTTCCTTCCTATTTCTTTTTACACATATTTTTCTTTCCCCCAAGCACCCAATTTTTCCACTTTAAACTTCCCCATCAATTCTTCTATAGAACCAGACCTGAGAATTCAAAATACATCACAGAATAATTTTGTTGGGTAGTTTTTTCTAGTAAATTCGCATGTATAACTTGGAAATTGCAATATATGACACCGTGCTACATTACACAAACAAAATGGCATCATAACAGCATATAACTAATGTAATACTTGTTCGTGTTTGTTATCTCAATTCAAGCTTTCTGATCTTCGTTTGTTGGCAAGATATGATATCTTTTCTTAGATATGCATTACTGTTTCCATGAATGCTTATAGACACACCTTCAAAATCTTTAAAATGCTCAATATGTAAAAATGCATACACATCAGCATAAACATATCCAATTTACCACTATGAATCTCCATCTGTTCACAGAAAACTTCGCATCACTGTTCATCCTGATAGACATCATGCAATATAATACAACTCTCTCTCCTGCCTCCCTCTCCCTCATTTATTTTTTGGGGGCAAGAACATGATGCAAGAACTAAGTAAAGCTCACCGACAGAACAAGATTTCAAACCTTTCCCTTGTTGATGAACATCCCGGAGCTAGTCCGGACTTCGCTCAACGTGCTTTTACCCGACAGATTATCAGCCACAGCCGACCGCTTGAGCTCCAATCTCGCCTGACCAACAGCATCCCTTCAGATCTCAGCTCCAGACCAAACCCCATAACAAATTGAAAATAAAAGAAAAGAAACGTGGCAGGAAAAGACGTCAAGAGGGGATTCGCAATATCGGATCGTACTCACGAGAGATATCAGGTGATCGCATTCTTCGTCCGTCAGGAACCTTTCGTAGACGAAAGCCCTACCACCACATTTCCCCAAACTTCACAACCGATCCAAGGAGAATACCCAAGAAACACAAGAAAAAAGATCAGCGAGAATGGGTTTGAGCACTGACCGAGGTTTCCAAGAGAGCAGCTTCGATCTGGATGGATCAATGATGGGATAGGGCAAGGATCGCTGGAGTAGGACGATGAAGAGAAGGAAGGGTAAGAGAAGGGAGAAGGGGGGAGCTCTGGATCTCCGAGATCCCATCAGAGGAAGAGAGGGAGCGAGAGAGAGGGAGTGTGGAGGATGAGGAAGGGTCGGGGGATTGATCGGATCTGCCGCATGTAGGGCAGTCCTGCTATCTTACCTTCTCTAGTAAAAGAGGAGAAGCGGACGTGTCGCCTGATGAGGTAACCAACGTGTTCCGTTCGGAGCGTTGATGCGGGCATCAAAGGATCGGACGGCCAAGATTGTCCAACGCTTTCCCCTCCGGGTTCCTTATCGGGTTTATTAATTGTACTTGGTAGTTAACTGGCGGCGATCTAACAATCTGCTCTAATACATTAATTATTGTGGGCATTGCGGTTCCCTATGCATTTCTAATTCAATATCAAGAAACTATCTACATCATTCATTTATCAGATAAGCATTTAAACCATCAATATTAATTGAGTTAACTATATATAAATTCTTTTAATGATTTCTATATCAAATCTTTATCATCTTTTCAATGTCCACAATTTATAGAGTTATGATAAAAATCAACCTATATTTATTTCTTAACTAATAGGTAGGTAGGTAGCTATCTAACCAATCTTGAAATATTTACACGTAGCACCAAGAAACGTGCATCGCGGGCGATCCGTTGCAAGAACAAATGGCAACGGGGCAAAAAGCACAACCAACGCCGTGGTGTGATGCGCCGCTTGCACCTTAAATTCTACGTGCTGAACTGGGAAACCGATAAATCTCGACGTTTCCCAGTTGTGTTTCCATCCACGGCGTTCGTGGCCGTACTGCCGTGTGACATGGAAAGCTTCGTCCTGGTGGGGTCCATTGCCTTCCTCAATCGCAAGGCAGGTATCTGAACGAGTAAGTCATTTGCGTCTTGTTCAAGAGAAATAATCCATCCCTCGCTTTGAACCCCTACCTTATTATGTAAGAGAACAAATGAGGAAAACATGTGTTCTTTCCGATTACATCCCCCCAGCAGCTACCCTTTAAATGCACCCGTCTCTCTCCTTCCCTTTCGCACTGCACATGGAAGACCAGACGCTCTTCTTCACTCCGCCGTCTCAGTTTCCGTTTTTGGTAAAGAAAGTGAAGATAGAGACAGAGAGATAGCGAGCCATGCAGCGCTTATATAGGACCGTGCATGCCCTGCTGGGGTTACCTCATCGCGACGACCGTCGGCGGCAGCCGAGCCCGGGTCACCGATGCCGGAATATTCCACCACCGTACGGCGAAGGGCTCCGCGTCGTCGTAGACGACCAGCCGCGTCCGCCGAACGTGCTCGAGTGCTCCGCCATCGGGAGACTGCCGAATCGCGTGGACCCCGGCGCTCGTGGACTCCACGAGCTCGACCGCCGCGGGGGGCTCCGCTTCCTCACCGAAGGCCTGGGGTCGGAGAGCTGCGACGGGGGGATGGAGGCGGAGGAGATGACGGGGAATGCGGATGCGTGGGGGTGGAGGGGGCCGCCGCGGCAGAGAAGGGTGGCGGAGTCGAGGAGGCGGCCGCCCCTCCCACCGCCGCTGCCTTGGCTGGCGGGGCGGCGGAGCTGGTTCATGCGGGCGGTGAGAGAGGGCGGGAGGATCCGGCTGACGGAGGTGTGGTTCGAGCGGCCGCCGAAGATTCTCCGCGCCTCCCGCGGGGGCGGGCGCCTCCGGTTGGACCTCATTTCCGAATCAGATCGCAAGGAGGACGACCGCCACGTCGCACCGGGTCAAGAAGAGCGTGAGGGAGCAACAATAATAGCAGATGAAGGAGAAGAAGATCCCTATAATGTCGATGTCGAAGAGGAGGAGGTAAGAGCACCGGCAGTGTCGCCCGAGAAGACGGTGACGCTGACGCGGAAAGGGAAGGAGCGGAGGTGTCTGATGATGGTGAGTGGTAACGGGGATCCCACCTGGTGGAGTCGCCGCCCCGTGACGACCGCGTGAGCACGTGCGACGTCACCGTCTCAAGGGTGCGGATTAAGGTCGAGGATGAGTAATATTAGGTTGTTATTGGATATGTTGTATTTTTGGTTAATAATATTAGGTCGAATATTACAATATTAACTGAAATTTCTTTCAATGTTAATTATTTTTTTTTATTTTGGAATATATATATATATATATATATAT